TGTTCTGATCTGCACCTATACGGTATGCAACAGGCGGTCTGCAGCCCGCGCGGAACCGCCCGGACGGCGTCCGCTTGCAAGTATGCTTCTAACCACAGGAAATAAAGTTTGGTGACTGATGGAGGGAGGCCCTTATTCCCCAACCCCAGACCGCAACGCTCGCAATCTTAGACAAGTTTTTTTCGGGTGAACCGACTATTTGTGTGCCGATGGAGCGACAGCGAACTTCTTCTCAGAAAAGCCCCCCGTTGAGTGCTTCTAACCACAGGAAATGAAGTTTGGTGACTGGTGGAGGGAGGCCCTTATTCCCCAACCCCAGACCGCAACGCTCGCAATCTTAGACAAGTTTTTTTTCCGGTGAACTGACTATTTGTGTGCCCCAAAAGCCAGGCCAGTGCACAACGTGAGGGTTTTCTCTTGTTCCCCAACCTGCAGGGTTCACGACCCCTAGACAAGTTTCTCAACCTACACGCAATTCAGGTGCCCAAAAAGCCAGTACGCAAAGTAATTATTTAAAGTTATTTTCCCTTATTCCCCCGAAAGACTCCGTGTGTCCCAATGGGCCACAATGCCCATGAGGTACTCTGCCTGTTTCTCTCCTCCAACAGAAGTTTTTCCATTTTTCTTTTGTTCTCCTCGCTTTCTATCCAAAGCAAAGGGCTTGTCAAAGTTCTTTCATTTCCGTAAAACAAAAGGAAGACTTTTATGAAGACCACCACCAATCAAAACCAAGTGAATCCAGGTGGGCACAAATTCCATGAAATTTGGCATCCCTTTGACGTGCTCTATCTATCTTCTCTATCTTTCCCTCCCCCTAGTTGAACCGTGCTTCTGGTGTCCCTGATGCACTCTCCTTCTTCAGACCAGGAAAAAAAAGCAGAAAGGCTCTTGCAGTAGTGTAGCCAGCCAGTCCTTCACGGGCAAACATCATGGACAGCACTTCTCTCTCTCTCTCTCTCTCTCTCTCTCTCTCTCTCTCTCTCTCTCTCTCTCTCTCCATCTTCACACACACAACTCAACCCCCCCTTCTCCTCCTCTACTTCCAGGAAAAGAGTCACTGCATCTCTCTCTCTCTCTCTCTCTCTCTCTCTCTCTCTCTCTCTCTCTCTCTCTCTCTCTCTCTCTCTCTCTCTCTCTCTC